GCAAAAGAGAGATGACGATAAGGTTCCACATAGTTACAAGTGGGTCATAGAGTGAGGAGCTGGAGGTGTATTAGTGGCAGGGGTGGTGGGATTAGTAGTCGTCGCAGTAGCAGTCATAATAATAGTAGTGGTAACCTTAGTAAGGCAAGGCAACGTGATTCAGATCAGACAATTCATACACAAGCTAACTCAATGTGCTTCACACAACCAAAATCACAACTACTAAAAGTATTTACAAACACAACAAATAGTAGTAGTGGTAGTAGTAGAAATCGTAGTAATATTAATAGTAGTAGTAGTCGTCGTAAGACTACAAATAGTTGTATAAGTTGTAGATTGAGTAGAAATCGTACTACTTGTAGTCATACTAGAAGGGCTTTTAGTACTGGTAGTAGGAGTGTGATTAGTAATAGCTGTAGCAGTTTTAGATGTAGCAGTAGTGTCGTAAAATTGAATTAGTCGTGAGATTATTCGTTGTTTTAAGAGTATAAGTAGTAGTAGTTGTCATAGGCGTTGTAGTGTTGGACAAGTTAGTGGCAGTAGTAGTCTGAGTGGTCGAGTAGTTGTACTAGGAGTCATCACAGTAGTTGTAGTCATAGGAGTAGTAGTATACTGGATCTAAGTATTAAATGTCCTATTATATTAGTACGTGGAGTAAAAGTTGCTGTTGTAGGTGGAGGAGATGGATGAGTAAATGTAGTATTAATAGTGGCAGGAGCATCTTGAGTAGTTTCAGGACTTATAATAATATTGTTAGAGTTGGTGAAGCAACATGTGTCTCATTTGTTAAAAAAAAAAAAAAAAAAAAAATCTTATGTTTGCCAGAACACCTTGTCTACTGCATTCTGTATGACTCCTCCTTAATTACAGTACAGTACTTCTCTTACTTTCAAAGTACTTAACGCAAGGCCTGAAACCCCCCCGCAATCCTTCACGAAAACACATTAGTGAGACAGAAGCTGCTGTCGCAGTTGGACCAAATAAATGTGACTTTCCGCCTCTTAGCCTACTAAGTGCCAACTTGTGAGCGTGTGTTTTTGTGTGTGCGCGCGTGTGTGTTGACCGACACCATCTAAAGAGCTGATAATGGCTGCTAGCGGCTTGATGCCACCCCTCTTGGACTGGAGAAGTACAACACTGACAACGGTTGGCTTCGTTGGCTCTGTTTGGTTTTGTTTGGCAGTGACTGTGACATAACACGTTCGTTTACATCATATCACATTGCTAGTTACTATCATTGACTCCATTACAGATCATATAATAATACTCACAGTCATATTTTCTTTATCCTCTGTGGAATGAATATTACAGCGGCTTACTGAGGAGTGGCTGTCTCCTTGCTTCCAGTATCTGTAAGTCTGCATTCTACTGCCCCCAGGTGGCCAATTTTTTTTTTTTTGGGGGGGGAGGGGTCCTTTGGAACACATCAAAGAAATTTCCATTTCAATGAGAAAAGATGATTTGAGATGTGTTTTGAGTTATGAGCGTGATCATAGAACAAATTAGACTCACATCTAAAGGCTGCACTGTACAATGAAAACATTGCCAAAATGTGCCCAAGATGGCCGACTTCCTAAGAATTAAAAAAAAAAAAAAAAAAAAAAAGTCATTGTCAGAGGGGGTTTCAATTGGCCAAAAGTGGCTACGCTGGAGCCAAAACGAACAACGCGATGATTGGGAAAAAGAGCTCATATTGGAAAAATGACAAAAATCACACCTACACTTTGAAAATGTCATGACGTTTGCACCAACAGAACGAAAATGGTTCAAAAAGGGACGCACAGTGAACACAATTCACCAGAGAGGATTATAATCTTTTCAAACTCATCCCACAAGATTAATCTTCAAAAATAAATGGTTTAAAGATTATTGGATTTCGAAAAAATATATATACACCAGACGTGTGCATGTATAAAAATCACCAATGGAGATGGATATTTTTAGCCAATAGCTGGGGATACACTTCACAGAATAAACGGGAATAGTAAAACGGGAATATGTTGTAGGTGACTGCTTTCTTTGCCTGGAAGCAAACACTAGGTTAAGAGAATAAATTAGGCAAATGTTTGGAGGAAATTTAGGGCAGCATACAGTGACAACACTGCCCTTCCTTTCACCCTCCGCTGGCCTTTTAGGTGCTTTGTCTCCTTGAGCGAAACCCTTCCACGACACTGGCACCTCGCTTTTGTACCTCACTGAGATTTCACCCTTTTTTGCGCTCACATCAAAACTTTTATATCAGGTCTTTTCACCACGGAATTATTTAGCGGTAGCCCGCGGGCAACATGGTACAGTCGGAAAATTGACTAAAAGTCACAGGGGCTCGGATCCTTGTCACCTGCGGTAACGCGGTGAGGACGTGAACGCCTCTGACAGTCTAGACATGGAAGTGTGACACATCCCGGGGACATGTGGCGCATATGGGAAAGGCAAGGGAAAAGAAAAGGAAGGGAAGGACGGCTTGGTGGCTTAAGACAGAGATAGAAAGTGACGGGAGGGCGCTTGTTGCTAGGGCAGATAAGAGCCCGAGTACCAGTCAGCTAATGGGTCAGAAGTAATGTGACCTACTGACTGTCAGAAGGTCGGGAGAAGCTCAGTTAGTCATACTCATCCCCTCAAATCCTTAAACTCCCTTTAGTCACACTGAAAAGTTCTCCAATTGAAACTTCAAGCCCTTTTTTATCGACACAGTCAAGATTTTTCAATTGTAACGGGCCCCTAAATATATGCGTCCCGTATTGTCCCGGTAGAGTACAGATGGGCTTTTTCTTGTCAACGCAAGCGTTAAACATTGATGGCCGTGTGATGATCGCAGTTCTGCTCGCAACTTTCATGTTGTTGTTAACGTTGGCTTGAAGGCGGGGAGGGGAAAAAAAATGGTATGGCGTCAAGTTTCCTCGCTGTTTGTTGTATCGGGATCAGTATTTTGTGTCTCAAAGACTCCTGGGAAATTATCCGGCGACATGCAAACGCAATTTACTTTAATGTTGATGAGATGCAAGGCGCATAGCAGCGTTGGGCCACACCAACAAACAAACACCGCGTGGTACGTTTCAAATGGCTTTAACAGTCAAGTGTTGTAACAACTAATGAGAGTAGTGGGGGTGGGGGTGGTGGTTTACGGATTTACTGATGGGCTCTAAAGAAAGGGAATATATACATGTGCAATAGGGGGCTGGGGTTAGGCGTGTGCGGCAGTCGGCGCTCGGCTTTGCTTCGAGTTTTCATCTTTGGGAGCAGACGGAAAAAAAATCATGAGGGGTAATGAGGATGGGGGAAGTTGTGAAAAGTGAGAAGAAGAAGAAGAAGAAACATCAAGAACTGGATGGCGCAAAGCGTCACTGTCAACATGAAGTTTGGTAGGCATGACTATTATTTGTAGAAGTGCAAATTTGGTTGGTCTGTCTATAAGGAGTAGACCGAAAACTCATGAACTCATGAATAAAAAAAAGAGATGCAAGGTCTGCTTTTTTTTTTGGTTTGAAGTGGAGCGTTTTGGGGCATTTCCGCTATCTCCAGGGCTCATTTCAAAACTAACCCGTCCTGGAGATTTTTTACGACCGCTCTCCCAAATTTTAACCATGCATAAGGGACAGAGGTGGCAATGCGATATTCTGAAACATTTAAATTTTTGCCATTGTGTGTAGTCAGAACAAGGCATGGCAATTTATTTTTTAAATTGTCCCCGTTATCTCGACTTGAATGTTTTGAAAAGTCATTCCCCTGAAGCCAGCTTTCGTTGAGCCACATGAAATTTGGTCGGCACATCCAGCATGAGAAGACCCACAAAAAGTCTCAACAATTCATGTTTGCAAAGGCACCTGTGGCTCGTCATTTTGGTTTGAAGCAGACATTTTTTTTGGAGATTTCCAGTGGTCATTCAAAGGCAAACTCATTTTCGTCCAAATGCTACCAAATTTTAACCACTCAGATGGTAAACTGCAAAACATTTGAGTTGTTGTCAGTGCGTGTGGCCAAAATTTGATGACTTGCTGTTTAACACACGACTCCAGCCTAATAAGGTCAGAGATGAATCACAGCCAAGCAAAAACCAAACCAGATTCACTTAGTGCGTCTAGCATGAGTAGCTATCGTCCGTGTCGACGTGTGGTCCGCCCATGTTTTAATAACGCCGGGACAAATAGTCGACGGCGTAATAAATGTTCTAATCACTGTCTGATTGACTGAGAAAATGGGTGTCATCAGACATTCGCCTCGTCGTCAACAACTGCACACAAGTACCGACACCCTGAGAGCTTCAAGTTTGTTAGTGGGAAATCAAGAGGTGGGGAGGGGAGGGGTAAGAATTTAATCTGCATGACACCAGCAGGGGAATCTAATCATGGCGACACAAGTAGGGGCTTGTTTAACGATTTCCTCCCTTTGCCTTTTTCAATTAAGCTAACTCGCTGTGATGTGGCCCTCTTGCCGTCTGCCCCATTTTATTTTGCGAAGCCCAACATTGGGCCAAACTGGTGTCGCCACGCTCGGTTTTTTACGACTTCACATCGAGACCAATCGATTTTGGCTTTCCCCAAATCTACCAGCTGGATGGGAGTTTATTAGCCGTCTTCCTCTCCCATTTATTAACAAACACTTTTACCACGCGAAGTACTTCAATGGGAAACGCAGGGGTGGGAGGATCAAATTAACCACAGTTTGAGATAAATAAATTGCTATGTAATGACTCCCCCTACAGGAGCGAAGTTTAATTGGCTCGTGCGGATCCAGCACCATTCAAAGCGCTTTGTTCCGGCATGAGCTCTTCCGTGAGTTACTCAAACGTTTTAGGAAAAGCAAACTGTGTGTTGGATTGACTCCATTTTATTTTGTCCAGTGGCTGCACAAAATAAAATCATCTGGATCCAGTTCGGGTTTTTTTTGGATGCATGTACATTAACCCTTTCATGCACCCTGTAACCTGATAACGTGATAAGCTGTCCACTGGAGTAACCGCTGTCCCTGAAAGGGTTAAAAAAAATGTATCTGGATCCAGACGATTTTATTTCATGCAACCACTTGATCTAATAAAATTCAACAAATATATTTTTTTCACGGTGTTATTGTAACTTTTCTGTCGCTCCAGACTTCCTCACGCAGTATCCGAGTTCCTCTCTGGGTAGCCTGGCAAAGGTTTCATGTAGAATGACAAAGCCACAATGCAGCTCCTTTTGCTTCTCCCTCAACACCCTCAAGACAAATAAATGCATCTGTGGCATTCTTCCACGACATGAAACCAAATCCTCATTTCTGCGCAAAAACCTTCGCGGCCGCGTGTCCTAGATGCTTCCATTCTTCCGCCGGTATGTCATCAGGACCGACGGCTTTTTCATTTTTCCCTTTAGTCATCATTGCTTCGTCCTGGTCCACCACAAGTGCCTCTTCGACTCTTGCGTTTCTCTCACTCTCATTTTTCTCATTCGTCATCTCCTCAAAATATTCTTTCCCTCTATCCAGCACACCACCAGAACCAGTCAACAAATTTCCATCTCTTTCCTTAATCACCTTTAATGTTCACCATGTCATCATCTGTCTCTTTCTTCGGCCTTTGCCGCGTCCGCCGTTGGTCTACATCACATCTCCATGTATTCTTGTTTCCTCACCTCAGTCACCTCGGTGTCCCATTTCTTCTTATCTAACCTACTTCCTTGTATGCTTTCCAGGTTCCACCACCAAATCTACTTCTCCAAAGCTCAAGGACTCTCCTGCCTGTCTCCCTACTCCCCGTAGCTGTAGTGGCGGTAATGCTGTTTTCCACGATTTGACATCTTTTAAAACTTGAGCGATAGCCATGCATGAAATCACACAAGCACGTCGTGCCAAACCATAGCAAAACATTAAAACAAACATCCGATGATTTGCTTTGAGTTTTTCCATTTCCTTTTATTTTATGCAAAATCGACTCCAAGAAATGGACTGCCATCATGCATGACTTCACACAAGAATGTTAGCTTGTCGTGTCAGACCATAGCTCATCAAGCATTCAAGGATTCAGTCTTCTTTTTGCTTTTTTTTTTTTTAATAGTCTTTTTTGGGGGCAGGCATTTGCAACGCTTACTCCAAGACAGCATGTCACAATAAAACATTTTGCCAGAGATTTTTTGGGGGTTGTTTTGATGTTTCCAAGTGATTTAATTATTTTTAACTCATATGACAGTGCAAAAAAAATGAAATAATTTCCATTATATCTTATGAGTGGGGAAAAAAAGTACTTCTAAATCCAGTACAGTCCGGGTTGAGCAATTTTGTTCAGCTTAAAATGCTCCACCGCACACTTTGAGACCTCTCGTGTGGCCGCAAGAGTGCTGACGCGTCCCATTTCTGGCCGCTTGATTTCACAAAGGTTTGAACCGAACAAGCGCGGGACACTGCATCTACATGCAATATTCATCTCCAAATGTATTCATAGAAGCCCAGTAAAGCCGCGCTAAGTGCCACAGAGGTGCATCAACTCCGCGGTAATAGGCAGTTAGGACACTGGTATATGTGCGCATGCGGACTAAGTGTCGTGTGTGCGTATGTGTGTGTTTGTGTGTATATCGGCTACGTGACAGAGTCACAAACTGGCTTGACACGCTTCGTGCCGTTATCAAGATTTACAGCGATGCTCATGTGGGACGCACGGCCCAAAAAATGGCTCAACCCGTGTCCCAATTAGACAGCCTGAGGAGCGTGCATGCACACGCACGCACACACGCGCACTTCCTCAAACAATCCCAGATCTCGCAATCTGTCTCGCTCAGACACTTGTGCATATTCAGTCTTTGCAACAGCACGCGTGCGCGCGCACACGCACCCACACACACACACACACACACACACACACACACACACACACACACACACGCACACACACAGAAAACGCTGAAACGGTGAAAAGCGAAGAAAGATGCCAACGAGTCGTGTGATGGAGCGGCTCGACACCATCGTTGCGTCATTGCTGACCATATTCAATCTTAAAATTCGTGGATGCATCATCGCACACACACAGAAATGCGCGTGCCTCCCGTGCACGTGTGCCCCCACTCAAGCTCAGTATGGGTTTAATGATGCAGAGCCGAGCGAACGTCTCCCAATACGGGACTCCGTGAGACCAATCGGTACGCGCGTCGCGCCACTGCGCATGCTCGCTCGACCAAATTAGCATCATACGTTACAGAAAATAAGAAAACCACATGGATGACATGGGATGTGGAATCGTAAGGGCGTCGAAGAAAAAAAAAATGGAGTGCACTGCTTGGTTGCGGCCAGAAGAGGCAGTGTTGATTCAATCCTGACAATTTTGATGAAGAAGAACGTGAGGTCGGCTCTGCGAAGTTGAGCGACAATGGAGCTGAACCACGAAAATGGAATCAAAGCTCGGAAAACACTTAAACAAATCTAATAATAAATTAATATAAAATATTGAAAAATAAAAACTAAAAGTAACTTTCAATAGAATACGATTTAAAACAATAGAAATTAAATGACTAAAATAGAAAAAAACTAAGTAAAACCAATAATATTAAATTTCAAAATAACATTTAACAATGTGAATTAAATAAATAAAAATAATAAATAAATATAGTAAAAGCTGGAAAATAGTACATTTACAGACAAACATAATATAATTTCATTTTAAAAATACCAGAAAAAATGGTGCATTCGTATTCTTATAATAAACATAGCATTTTATGTTAAGTTGATAGTACTGTATTGTTAATGCAAAAAAAAAACCATGAAACTGATGTACTGCATGTCTTGATACAGCACAAATCTATACACAGGTTTATATTGTATTACATTATATAATTAGTATTATCAGCATTCATCTGGGGATATACTTTGATAGCAGCGGTATATTTCTGTGATTTGTTGTGTCCCCCATGTTGGAAGACTTCCATCGATGCAGTCTCTTCACTTGGAAAACTGACTTCAAAAAGTGAGGTCAAAACATACCACACACAACTTCGAGGCCCACAAGCTCGCTTGCATGCCATCTCACACACACTCACACCCACGCAGCGACACTCACACATGCAGTATGATTTATTCCCTAAGATGCAGACAACGATCAATGTCAGCCAGTCACACTTGAATGAGCAGACTAAACAATGTCGCTCCATTATGACCGCCTTGTTTAAGCAACAACGGCTGGATGACACAGAAAATCAATACGCCACCACGCAACTCTGTGTATTTGTGAGTGTGTGTGCACCGTGTTTGTGTGCAGCCAAGAAAAAGGACCATGATGATTAAACGTCCACTTAAGCAGCCCTTTCAGGCAAGTACAGGTATGCAAGCGTGTGTATCTGTGTGTGTGTGTGTGTGTGTGTGTGTGTGTGTGTGTGTGTGTGTGTGTGTGTGTGTGTGTTTGTTAAACAACATATCAATCTCTACACACTGATTGATTATCTACACTTTACTCTATTTAACTACATCTAAAGAAAAGGCAGACAATTTAAACTTGTATTGTTGCGTCTGACAATGAGATTTCTCTTATAAAATTCTCCTTTTCTTTGGATTTTAACACAAACCACTACTATCATCCCAAACACATTGCAAAGAAAGAAAAATACAAATACAAATAACCATTTAAAAAATTGTCAGACGAACAACAACTCCAACTCGATAGCATCATTGCCATCATTTGCACGTGATTCTTGCATATTTCTGTCAACATACAATCACAGCAGTTACACTGACCAACAAATATCAGAAATTTGCCGAATGAAAAACACCAACTTGGAATCATTGCATTGATTAGCATAATATTTTTTTTTCCTGCAAAAAGACCCAACTGCCATTAAAGGAGAAAATGTGCTTCCATTCAGGGAGTTCAAGCTATAATTTTTCCAGACCACGCACATTTCGCAACCAGCACTTGGCAAAAAAAAAAAACACAGCACAACCTGATCCAAAAAGATTGGCGGACGCACAAAAGTTTGGCGAGTTGCAACCCGGACAAAAAGCCAGCACGGGCGTGAGGGAGAGCAAGCGGCACGGACAACAATAGGAAGATTTGGGCTGGCTGTGGGGATTCGTGGGCATAGCTTTGACTCAGCTGCTTTCTCCTGTTTTTTGAAGGGGATGACATTTTTGAAGGAGGATGGAAGGAAGAAGGAGGGAAAACAACCGTGTGTCTTTTTTTCAATCATTTTTGTTTTGAGTTTCTCCCATTTCTCCCTCAGGAAGTGCAGAGGACGCGGGTGGGTACAAAAAGTGAGGAAAAGATGAGAGGGAGTCCAGAGGCGTACACGACACAAATGGAGACGGACGGCGCATGGAAAGAGGACCAGAGGACTTATTTTGTGTGCCTTTGATGTGGCAAAATAACCCCGCAGTGACATTGTGACACATGCTTGTGCAGCACACATATAGAAAAAGAAAGAAAAAAAAAGTAATGCTGTATGCATAAAGTCACAGATAAACTGTAAAACAGATGGTCACAGACCAACCAAGAAACGCTGTGTGACAAAGATGTGGTGTACAAAACAACAATATGTTGTGTGGTCAAAAACGACCACGAGATGTAAAAAAAAAAAAAATGTCCATAAAAGTTAAGTTGTCATCACTTTTTGTTGTGAACCAAGACAAGAGGTTTTGATTATGGCTAGTGCTTTGAGCCTAAATACACGTCATGGTGCTTAACAGTGTGGTAAGACCCCGAGTCAGACCTTGACTGATAAAGAGTTGAAGATTGCTGTGATTTTGATTTTATTTTTTTGGAACAAGCAAGTAAGGGGAGCATTGTTGTCATGCCACCAGGATGGCAGAGGAGCCAATTTGGCATGCCAGAGAGAGGAACATTCGGAAAAAAAAAGACAAAAAAATTAAGCAATGGCATACCGGCTTCACTTAATGCCATGCAGTGTTGATAGGAAGGGTGACGGAATGATGGGATTGTGTGTGTGTGTGTGTGTGTGTGTGTGTGTGTGTGTGTGTGTGTGCGCGCGCGCGTGTGATAGGCAAGCCCATTCAGCCTGTGTGTGTGTGTGTGTGTGTGTGTGTGTGTGTGCGCACGCGCGTATGATTGGCAAGCCCATTGAGCCACATGTCATTGGACAAGGAAAGCGTTATTGCACGGCGCAGTACACCAGCTGCGCCTCAAGGAGATGATGATGATTACGATTATTATGATGATGATGACGACGACGGCCAAATGGCTGAATCAAAAAGGGGAATACAGAGAGTAATATCTGATTGTGTGTCTAAGGCCTTCTGGAATTGTTTGAGTAAATGAAGGTTTATTGTCAATGAATGTATTTAAACTATAACCTCGACTGGAGCGTGTGTTCAACGTTGAAACTACAAAAAAACAAAAACACACCGCATTGAACGCATCGGGCGAAAAGGGAAACGATGGGAACGGAAGAGAAATCTACGTGGAGATTGTGAAGTGTATCTGCAGAGTTAAGCCCTTTTTGTGAGACGAAATAAATAAATGTGACGTGACAGAGTCCACGGCTGATGTATGGCGACAGGTTCAGCTCACATTAGCATGCGTGTTTATTTTGTCATTTCTAGATAGGCCCTCAAATGAGTGCTTGACCAATAAGTTTACATTGTCTGTATTGTATCAACCAACCAGCTATGATAAAACAGTACCGCATAGTTCCTCATTTTTCCAACGGTAAAGAAGAAATGGCGTGTATTTCAATGTATTTCTTGACTTCTTCACAAGGGTAATGTCTGCCTGTGTATTCGCCACAGTCGCATCAAAGTCAGTCAGACTACAAACTGGAGCGGGAGTCCTACCCAAAGTGGAACTTCAAGCATCCTTCTGAAATGAAACTTAATATGCAACAGCGACAATGTTTTTATTTTGTTTTTGTTTTTTTTTAAATAACAGCAACTATTTATGAACATTTCCATTTTCTGAATTATTTATGAACATCAAAATATTTGCAATATCAAAATATGAATATGCCAATAATAACATGAAATCAAATGCAATCTTTTCCATTGTTTGAATGCCATCCATCCCTTGTGTTTCCGTTTTTATTAAAAAAAAAAAATGCAATAAGCAAGTTGAGGGAGACAAACTTTTGCATTTGGACACACATAACAGACTCTGTTTTGATTTTATTCACACGGCGTCTTTCCTCATTTCCCT